GTCGTCACATGTTGTTGTCACACAATATCGTTACATGTCGTGACATGTTGTCGTGACATGTTGTCGTCACACGTCGTCACACGTTGTCGCCACACGGTGTCGTCACATTTTGTTGTCAGACAATATCGTTACATGTCGTGACATGTTGTCGTTACACGTCGTCACACGTTATCGCCACACGGTGTCGTCACATGTTGTCGTCACACAATATCGTTACAAGTCGTGACATGTTGTCGTTACACGTCGTCACACGTTATCGCCACACGGTGTCGTCACATGTTGTCGTCACACAATATCGTTACAAGTCGTGACATGTTGTCGTTACACGTCGTCACACGTTATCGCCACACGGTGTCGTCACATGTTGTCGTCACACAATATCGTTACAAGTCGTGACATGTTGTCGTTACACGTCGTCACACGTTATCGCCACACGGTGTCGTCACATGTTGTCGTCACACAATATCGTTACATGTCGTGACATGTTGTCGTCACACGTCGTCACACGTTGTCGCCACACGGTGTCGTCACATGTTGCCTGTCACACAATATCGTTACATGTCGTGACACGTTTTCGTCACACGTTGTCGTCACACGTTGTCGTCACACGCTGTCGTCACACGTTGTCGTCACACGCTGTCGTCACAGGATATCGTCACACGTTGTCGTCACATGCTGTCGTCACAGGATATCGTCACACGTTGTCGTCACACGTTGTCGTCACACGTTGTCGTCACACGTTGTCGTCACACGTTGTCGTCACACGTTGTCGTCACACGTTGTCGTCACACGTTGTTGTCACACTGTGTCGTCACATGTTGTCGTCACACGATATCGTCACATGTCGTCACACGGTGTCGTCACACGTTGTCGTCACACGGTGTCATCACACGTTGTTGTCACATGTCGTCACATGTTTTCGTCACACTGTCTATCGAAGGTCAGCCTGGGAACTGCTGACGTGCGGCTAGGTTGACAAATTGGCACACACAGCGTGTGGACTCGCCTAGCAACAGTATTCGACTCCGGGAGGACCAATCTTACCCAACTTGGAAATGAGACTGAAATCCCAGCCCGCCCTGAATTTGAAAATCATTATTTCTACTATATAACCTATAGTAAGATCCAAAATAAAATTAGGCAGTCGTGTTCGAAGCTTATCAGTTCATGGCTCGGGAGAATAGTAGCTATTACTACCACTGTCAAGGAGACGTGGCGACCATCTACGTCGCGTCTGCCATCGTTGGTTACAGAGATGCTCACCTATTCCGTTGTCGAACAGCTGCACGACTGTGGTGCCCCCTGCCGGGTCATGCACGGCAGCGTGTACCTCCGTGGCGACGGCCCGCATGGCGACGGCGCTGCCTGATAGCTCTACATTCACGATCAATCCCTCGCCATCTGTACACACATGTACTATTGTTGTACCACATCAACTACCTTTTTTTGAAACAGCTAGCGGTACTAAAGCGCCTTGACGACAAATTAAACGCGATATATACGACATTCTAAGATATGATAGCGTATCAACAACATCGTTTGATGGAAGATGCCTTTATGCATGTACGTCATCTGCAACGAATATAAAATGCATCTACAAATGTAAAATGCATCTAGGAACGTAAATTGCATCTAAGAATGTAAATTGCATCTACGAATGTAAATTGCATGTACGAATGTAAAATGCATCTACGAATGTAAAATGCATCTACGAATGTAAAATGCATCTACGAATGTAAATTGTATCTACGAATGTAAATTGCATCTATGAATGTAAATTGCATCTACGAATGTAAAATGCATCTACGAATGTAAAATGCATCTACGAATGTAAAATGCATCTATGAATGTAAATTGCATCTATGAATCTAGATTGCACCTACGAATGTAATCTGCAATGAATGTAAAATGCATCTATGCTAGTGAATACGAATGAATACGAACCAATCTCTGCAGTATTCGTGTGCATGTTTAGCTTGACGGGCACCTCACCATCCGACCAGCAATGAACGAATATCATCGCCTTCGCTTCCAACAACTCATCGGCGTTGATGATATCAATTATCCACAGACCGACCTAGATAGCAGAGAGACGAGCGTCCATGTTTGTGATGGGAGGTAGAGGGTGGAGGTGGTGGGAGGTAGGGGGAGGAGGTGATGGGAAGTAGGGATGGAGGTGGTGGGAGGTAGGGGGAAGAGGTGGTGGGGGTTGGGGAGGAGGTGATGGGAGGTAGGGGGAGGTGGTGGGAGGTAGGGGGAAGAGGTGGTGGGGGTTGGGGAGGAGGTGGTGAGAGGAGGGAGAGGAGGTACGTGGAGGTAGGGGGAAAGGAGGTGGTGGAGGGAGGGGGAGGAGGTGGTGAGAGCGTAGGGGGAAGAGGTGGGAGAGGAGGGAAGAGGAGGTGATGGGAGTAAGGGGGAGGAGGTGATGGAGTAGGGGGAGGAGGTGGTGGGGGTAGGGGAAGGAGGTGGTGGCAGAGGGGAGAGGTGGTGGGCGGTAGGGGTGAGAGGTGTGGGAGGGAGGGGGAAAAAGGCAGGGGTGGAGGTAGGGGAGAAGGTGGTGTGAGGTAGGGGGAGAAGGTGTGTGGGAGGGAGGGGGCAAGGAGGTGATGGAGGAAAGGGAGAGGAAGGTGGTTGGAGGTAGGGGGGAGAAAGGTGGTGGGTAGGTAGGGAGAGGAAGTGGGGGAAGGGGAGGGGGGAGGTGCGTGGAGGTAGAATGGAAGAGGTGGTGGGAGGGAGGGGAGGAGTGGTGGGAGGAAGGGGGAGAAGGTGGTGGGGAGGAGAGGCGGGAGGTGGGGGGAAGACGAGGGTGTGGAGGTAGGGGAGGAGGTGATTCGGGAGATAGGGGAGGAGGTGGTGGGAGGTAGGACTGAAGTGAAGTGGTGGGAGGTAGGGGAAGAGGGGGTGGGAAAGGTAGGCGGGGAGGGATGTGGTAAGGAGTAGGGGGAGGAAGGTGGTGGGAGGGAGGATGGAGGAGTGGTGGGGAGGTAGGGGAAAGAAGGGTGGGAGATAGGGGGAGGATGTGGTGGGGAGAGTAAGGGGGGAAGGAGGTGGTGGAGGTAGGGGGAGAGAGGCTAGTGGAGAGGTGTGGGAGGTAGTCAGGAGGAGGTGGTGGGAGGTATAGGAGCGAGGTGGTCGGGAGTAGGGGAGGAGGTGTGGGAGGTAGGGGAGAGGTGTGGGAGTAGGATAGGACGGAGGTGATGGGAAGTAGGAAAGAGGGGGTGGGAGGTAGGGGGCGGATGTGGTCGGGAGGTAGGCGGGAAGGAGGTGTGGGAGTAGGAGGAGGTGATGGGAGGTAGGATGAGGAGGTGGTGGGAGGTAGGGAGGAGGTGTGGGACGGTCGGGGGACGGAGGCTGGTGGGAGGTAGGGGGAGGAGGTGAATGGAGTAGGATGGAGGTAGGGTGGAGGTAGGGGGAGGAGTGGCTGGGAGGTAGGGGGTGGAGGAAGTGATGGGAGGCTAGGGGAGAGCTGCGTGGGCAGAGTAGGATAGCAACTGGTGAGAGTAGGGGAGAGGTGGGGAAGGAGGGCGGAGAGGTGGTGGGAGAGGGGGGGGAAAGGAGGTGGGAGGTAGGGGGAGGAGGTGGTGGGAGTAGGGGCGAGGAGGTGGTGGGCAATAGGTTTCTGTAGCATCGAGAGGGCCGCTGCGTTTCGAAACGCGGAACGACTTCCTTGACGGATGATAAAGCCTTTGAGGACGCATTTAAGTTCGAAACCCACGCGGGTACTGACTCGCCGGCAATTTGTTCTTGTATGTTTTCTCTCTCTGCTGCTCTTCGTCTGCTCACTCTCTCGAGTCTCTCTTCTGGCTCCTGCTCTCTCTTCGTACGCGCTTTTTCTGCCTCTTTCTGGACGCATGTCTCTGCTGCCGGCCCTCCGCTTCATCTCTGAATAACATATATATATATATTATATATAATCAAGAGCATATAAAGAAGGCTTCTTTATCTGCTTTTGATAATATACCCATACACGCAATGATATATATATTAGATATATAGCATATGCTATAGCTACATATGTGATGTATGAACATGAAATCAAGATCAGCAGATACCTCGAATGTCGGCTGCTTCGTTGACTGAATCACGGAGAACAGATATCTGGGATCAGAAAATCGCAGTCGCCATCAATACAGCTAGACCAGCAGGGTGACGCGCCGACGGTCATGTTAAGTCTAGTACTCTTCGCGTACGAAGAGAGCGGGGCAGTGAAGGTGACCCGTTCCACGTGTCGCGGAGCCTATCTCATTTGCAAGGCAGCGCAGTTGCTTGTTGGTACCGAGCATCAACATGACTGGCCTTCAGTCGCATCGTAGACCTGTGTCGGCTGAGAGTGACGAAGTCCGAAAATATCCTGAGTCCACTACCCTTATACTCTGCAACCCCCCCCCACGAACCTATTACTTTCATCCTATCTATCCCCCGTTAAAGGTCTACCCCTACTCTCTCTAGCCACCCGACCTTACCACACCCACCCTCACCCCCCCTCATCTCTCTTTTACATTATCTAAAAATCAATATTATTAAAAATTATATCAAAAATTAATTTGTTATTTAAAAACTAAATTAATTTAATAAAGTAATGTAATCTTCAAATATTCCAATATTAGTTATTAGTTAGTTATAATTATTAGCAGTGTTATTAGATACGTTAGTGGAGATATACGTAGCAAACAGCACACGGCGTGTGTCTCACCAGTACGTTGATGCAGCGGCTGCGCTATGTCCGGACGCTGCGCGACTCCTCCTCCGCTATGCTGCGCTGCAGCAACAGCGTCTAAAGTGTTCAATATTTTCGGCTCTGCCAACCGATAGGTGGTGTCCCCCGCACCGTCGTTCTCCAGCGGCTTTCTCGACCCAGATATTCGTGGCGGGTGGTCACGCGACCAGAATGACGCTCATCTTGATGTTGTTTCGTCATACTGAACACTGAAACACCTTGGTCGATTGGTCGGAGGAGCGGCGTGTCAGGGTCTGTCTTGCTGTTGATCAATATGACATGGTCGCCATTTGTGATCGTGACGTAATTACCGAAGTAAAGACATCTGTATATTATGAATTCTCGCTGTCACAAGTCTAGAAGAGAACCTTCTAGTACACGTGGGGAATAGTACGCATTTTAATGTTATAATGTTATTATATTATAATTATCATATGTGCACCGAAGAAATATGGCAGATTCAATTTTTTTATGATTTGCGATATTAGAAGTGCAATCGACTGGAGAAAGCGCGAAATTCAATTTAAATAAAACGGAAGCTGGGAAAAGGGACATTTTAATTTTATGCTGGGAAGCTGGGAATCGAGCCGGCGCCGTCTCTCGCCCCCCCCCCCCCACACACACAGAACAACAAACAACAAACAAACAAACAAGACAAACAACACAACATACAACCACAGCACACACACACACGCACACACACGCACACACACCACAGGGTGACAGATCCATCATATAATAGCATCGCTATACGATTTATGTCAACAACTACCTCCCCTCATCGCCGAGAAAACTGCTAGAACGGCCCCTACGCTCAACATCCCGTGTTCTGCCGTAGGAAGGAACTCTGAGAATGATAATGTAACATCTGTTTACACGCTGTGCACTATTGCTAGGCTAGACGCGCTTCGCGTAACAGATGGCGTACATTGATGCTATTAGGAGAATGGCAGAGCGTCGGTTGGGTTAGACACGATTATAAGGGTGATTGTGAAATGGCGGTGTAGGACGTAGTCTGTGAGAACGGGTACATGGTGCGTGGTGCAGTGTGGCTTTGAGCGGAGTTTGGGGAATAGAGAGAGAGAGAGAGAGATGTAAGGGGAGAAGGGATTCTGGTTCGTGGCGGCGAGAGTGGCAACGCGCGTATGGCGTTGCGGCGTTCTTTGCGGGGGGGTGTGTGTAAGGAGATGTGATGCTGTTCTAAGACTATTAAAGCAATGTACCAGCTTTAATACACACAAGTTTGGAGTCTACTCCATCATTTCTACATGAACTCGCATTATTGTTTACATTTTGGTGCCGTGACAATCAAAACCTGGGTATCCCTTTGCGGACACAACGCAAGTTACTTCATATTCGATCTAGCGGGCGCGCAGCACCGGAAAGACAGAGAAAGAATGAAAGCGGAGAGCGAGAGAGGGAGAGAAGGACGGAAAGAGCGGGTTCTGATGATGAGATGGGAGCCATGCAGACTGCGCTAGCGCCGACGACGATGACGATGGCGACGAGGATCGGCTGGAGATCGTGGAGATCGCGAAGGACCTTATACTACAAACGATTCACGAGCCACGGAGCCACAGAAGAAAACTGGAGAAGGAAGAAGAAGATTGGAGCGAGATAAAAGGAGAGCGGACGAGAGAGCAAGAGAGACATGTAGAAGAAGAGAGAGAGGGTGAGTCAGAAGGAAAGAAGGCAATGCCGAGACGCCGGAGCAGACAGCAACGGAAGCCGAGAGAAGAAGCTGGAAGAAATAAGAGGAAGATATATAATGCCGTGGTAAGTGTTGCAATTTTCCTAGTGTACATAGACTAATGCACCTAAATAGACTAATAGGATATAGATGTTACTGAAAATATATTCGTATCACACGCTTTCAAACAAGGGGGCAGACATGTTGATGAACGGGGAGGTAAATGTAACATGTGTTTTACTCATGTTCATTGCATTAGTAATTGTAGATAGATTTAGTTGTACATAGAAGCAGCGTTCGGCGTTTAGCATACAGATGAGAAATAGTTAGGTTGGGACTAGCGGACGAGTTACACATCTGCGGGTCAGATGTGGTTTTCGTGCGCTCTCATTTGAATAGCAGAGTGTTAGTGTGTGTGATTGGCTAGGGTAGAGTAGAGCTGGACAGTGACTGGATAAGAGAGGGATATATAAGACTTGAGAGATTTGAACGGGGGAGGGTTGGAACTGACGGTGGGAGCAGGACAGGACGGGACGACGAGATGGTGACTGTTATGTTTGTAAACAATATATTTCTTTAATTGAACACAAATTCTATATGTCTTCTTGATTATTTATACGCTAAATTATAACATACAAGCTACGTCCCTACAACAATATCTCCGTCAGAATCATTACGAATCACTTACAAGATCACAATACAAGATATCAATAACTCCCGCTGACAACAGCATCACGTATGCGGTAGTTATATCTAGGAAGATAGCTATGTAGCTTAATATTATATAGCAGTAAGAGATATCTATGAGGGTAGCTAACTCAATTTTCTTGGGTGGGGGGTGGTGCCAAGCCACGCGTGGGTTGTATTCTGGGCCGGTGATCGTTGTCGACAATTCTCTACTGACCATGTAACAGTATCGTATCTACAATTCTCGTGGAGGGGAGGCAACTGTCCCCTTACCGATCCCGCTAGCTACGGTCATAGTAGAGAGTGACTGAATGTAGGTCGCATGATTACGTCACCGTAAATAGTAAAAGTAAAAAATTAATGTCCACTTTTTTACAAAATGTAAGTGATTCTGTTTACTTTCTATGGTTAAATTGCTGCATTATACTTCATATTTTGCTATTCCGTTCGATATGAACAAACACTCGTGACTCATACATAGCTCATAGCAAGCATTTAATGTCGTGATCAATAAATCAAATCGCCCAGGTTTTCTAGATTTTTAACTAGTAGAAAAACAATCTTATCAGGTAAGAATTTGAGGATACATTTAGTCCCGGTTAGCTACATTTAATGTAAAAAAAATTCTACAAATTTTGTACAGATATACACCATAGAAAATACGTGACGTAGTCAATTTAACCGAGATCTACTCTCTGCTTTACTGTACGCGAGAGCATTCGCAATGTGTGTAGGCCTCGCGTGCAGTGCCACGAGTGCTGCAGCAATGATGAATTTAACTGGAGTAAATGTTTCTTTATCTCTAATGTTTCTTGTTCTCCGCTCATTTCCCGCCGCCCTGAGCATCCGCCATCTCACTGCTTCTTTGTTTTCTTTAATCANTGGGGGGGAGAGGGGTCAGTTCCCAGTTCCCAGATAAAATAAATGTCCCTTTTCCCAGTTCCCGGTTTATTTAAATCAATTTCGGCTTTCCCGCATTCCGATTGACTTCTAATTCCAAATCATAAAAAAATTAATCTGATATTTCTCGGTTCACATATATATTATAATAAAATATAACATTAATATAATTAAAATGGTCTATTCCCACGTGTACTAGAAGTTTCTCTTCTGGACTGTGACAGCGAGAATTCATAATATTACAGATGTCTTTACTTCCGGGTAATACGTCACGAGTCACAAATGGCGACCATGTCATATTGATCAACGGCAAGACAGACCCCGACAGCACTCCTCCATCCATCGACCAAGGTGTTTCAGTGTTAGTGACGAACAACATCAAGATGAGCGTCATTCTGGTCGGTGACCACGCCACCGAATATCTGGTCGAGAAAGCGCTTGAGACGGGTGGCACCACCTATCGGTTGGCAGAGGAAAATATTGAACACTTGGACGTGTTGCTGAGGCAGATAGCGGAGGAGGAGGCTGAGGCGTCCGACATAGGAGCGCTGGCATCAACTCTGGTGAGACACACGCGTGTGCTGTTTTGCTACGTATATTCTCCACTAACGTATCTAATAACACTGCTAATAATATAACTAACTAATTAACTAATATTGAATATTTGAGATTTAATTACTATTTAAATAATTTATTTTTAATAACAAATTAATTTTTGATATAATTTTTAATAATATTTGATTTTTTAATAATTAAAAAATTACGAAGTCCGCAAAATATTGAGTATATTATAATTCAACACGAAATATATATTTATTATTAATGTTAAAGGTTATATTTTACATTAAAATATATATATATATATAATATCAAGAGCATATAAAGAAGGCTTCTTTATATGCTTTTGATAATATACCCATACACGCACATGATATATATATTAGATATATCAGCATATCTATAGCTACATATGTGTGTATGACATGAAATCAAGGATCACAGATACCTCGATGTCGGCTGCTTCGTTGACGACACGGAGAACAGATATACTGGGATCTCGCGTCGCCTCATACAGCTGACCGCCAGGTGACGCCACGGTCATGTTAACGTCTAGACTCTCGCCGTACGAGTAGAGCGCAGTGAAGGTGACCCGGTTCCACGTGTCGGCGGGACCTATCTCAATTTTCACAGGCGCAGTGCTGTTGGTACCGACTGCCTTCAGTCCATCGTAGACCTGTGTGTGAGATGTGGTATATTTATAGAGAGAAGGGGTGGAGGGGGAGAAAGACAGCGTCAGAAAGAGAGAGAAAAAGCGCGTAGAGAGAGAGAGAGAGAGAGAGAGAGAGAAACATACAAACATAATGCAGGGAGTCAGTACCCGCGTGGGTTTCGAACATAAATGGTTCAAAGCGTATCATCCGTAAGAAGTCGTTTGTTTCGAAACGCAGGGCCTTCGATGTACGAACTTATTCCACCACCTCCTCCCCCTACCTCCCACCACCTCCTCCCCCTACCTCCCACCACCTCCTCCCCCTACCTCCCACCACCTCCTCCCCCTACCTCCCACCACCTCCTCCCCCTACCTCCCACCACCTCCTCCCCCTACCTCCCACCACCTCCTCCCACTACCTCGCACCACATCCTCCCCCTACCTCCCAACCCCTCTTCCCCTACCTCCCACCAC